TACCTCCCCAACAAGCTTTGATATTATACAGGGTAGGCAGGGAGGGGGTGAGGGCAGCATGAGGAGAATTGAATGGGAGGCAGTAGTTTAGAAAATTACTAAATCGTTCCGCCTCTGGTGAATCACTGGTGGCCGCTAAATCCGGTTTTGATTTAAGGGGGATCGTGTGACGCCTCAATGGCCAGGAGTTATCTGTCACACAGGGAAGAATTCACATGCTTTCAGAGGTGGGTACCTTGTCTCTGGGGGGAGCTGGACAGTCAGGCAGCAGAAGTTTCCAAGATCATGTCTGTCATGCCCAGCCATGCCTTCATTTCTGCTGGGGATACTGTGGATGGGGTGGGAGAAGACCCAGGCCCTTGGGCCCCACCTCACCCCACCAGGTCAGAAGGGGACAGCCCAGGCTGGGGTGAGCTGTAGCTGTGGATACTGCTGTGGAGGAGGGGTCAGAGGAGGCTGGCGTAGGGAGGGAGCAGGAGACAGGGTTCGCACGCAAACATCTGGGCAAAGTGAGCCTGGTGGCTCAGGAACCTGGGTCTTTGTCTGGGGCTGGAAGGGGTGGTGGCAGGTGCCACACAGGGTGGTTAGTGGAGAGCCTTGAGGACATAGCCAAGGATTTGAGTCTCCGTTTTGGTCTCTGTACTCTGGGCTTTGGTCCCGCCTCTCCTCCCTCGTGGAGGGGAATGGCCATCCCTCCCAGGGATGATGACTCTGTGCTGGAGTCAAATCCTTGCTTCCCAGGCTATGGGGGCAGACAGGCCCCATCTGAGCAGCCGAGGTCAAGGTCAGGGTGATATGGTAGCCGGTGCCCTGTTGAAGGGAAGAGATACGAGGACCAGAGGGATTCTCTAGGAGTGGGCATTCATGGCTTCTTCTCCAAGACCCCCAGAGACTTTGTCCTGTATCTCTACCCTACAAAAGTGCACTCTGCCAGGTTCAGAAAAGCCTGAGGGATTTTGGGGAATTCATCCAAGCTGCTGGTGAGCTGATGACGATCACGGCCAGTCTGCTGTCTGTGTCTCCTCCCACCTCGAACTCCATCTTCCCGGTGGGCCTCCTGGAGGGAATGAAGTCATTGTTCCCCACAACTCAGCCCATGGGTGGGGAATCCCTGTGGGCCCAGAAGGGAGGGTCCATCTGCTCGTCCCTCTGCTCTGCACTCCACAGAAGCTCCTGGCTCTAAGAGTGATGGCCTCGGCCACACCCGTGGGCGTCTTCCCCCGCACAGCCCAGGGCCAATCCTTGGCCAGTGTGTGAGTCTCTGTGTGTCCACCTCTGGACCAAGTGGAGGTCCTCCCGCTGCATCCGGTGGGGACCGGGACCAGACGGCCCTGGGAACAGCCAGCTCTGACTGGAAGGCAGGTCTCCGGGGCACGTCAGGAAGAAGAAGGCACATCTGGAAAAGCGTTTGCTGAGGCCGCTGATCCGGCAGGGCCAGACAGTGCCCAGGCCTCAGGGGCGGGGGAGGGGGGCAGTCTCCCCCCTTATGTAGCCTGGCTCAGGCCTGTGGGTTCTGGAGGCCAGGCCCACACCACTGCCCATGGGAGGGCCGCGGAGCCTGAGCCAGGCCGCACGGAGGGAGAACTGGGTGGGGGAAGCGCTCTCCTTGGAGCCCAAGCTCCCCAGCTGGTGGGGCTGCACAGGTGACTCCCAGCTTCTCCATGTACCCACTCTCTCCCTGATGCTCCCTTCCCCATGCACCCCTGACCCTACCCAAATTATGTTGGGAAGTTGCAGGTGGTCCTCACACACTCACCCCTCACCCATCCTAGGGCCTCTGAGGCCAGCTTCCCCAGTCCTTGTACTTGTTCCTGGGCCAGCAGAACTGGGGTTTCCTCTTAGGGGCCCTGATAGGCTGGCAGAGAACCAGACTGGGGTTCCTGAGTCCCCCAGCTCTGTCATTCCTTGTCAAACCTCTTACTGTTTCAGCCTCCCAGGGTTGTGGTGAAGAGGGGCCTTCAGACAAAGGCTGTTTCCATTTTTTCCTTCCCTGGTTGGGCTGGATTTGTGGCTGACCAGCGACGATCTGTGGCTCCCCCGTCCCCATTGAAATGGTCAGGCCACAGCCACAGAGGCCCTTTTGCACAATGGGAGATGGCGGGCCAACGAGGAGAGATGCCTGCCATTGTTCTGGAGATGCCTGCACTCTGATGGCGCCTCCTGCTGATGGCAGTGCCTTCATCCAAAGGAAGGCAGCTGCCACGCTGGCCTGGGAGAGGGGGTAGGAACTGCAGGGGGCTGGAGGGTACTGCCCCGAGGACCCTCGTAATATTCTGAGATTGGTGGCTGCCTAATTTCCCTGGGCAAATTGCTTTGTCACAACCCCTCCACATCCCCCATCTCCTGCCCAGCTCCAGATGGACGTGGGCCTCTGGCAAGTACACACTCACACACATATGCCCTCACTGTCACAAGCTTGGTCACCCACACAGAACCTGCAGGCTCATATGCTGGGCTTCAGGGGGACAAGGAGCTGGGCCATCGGGTTGTAGTTGTCCCCCCAGTGCCCAGAACGGTGTCTGGCGCTTGAAAAGTGCTCAATAATTATTTATTGGGTGAATTAGTACTTCCCAGGCAACCCTCAACCCCATGCACAGTAACACAAGATGCCTGGATCCTGACCTGGCCCGTGGACACTGTCACAGAACCCGAAGCCCACACAGGCCTGAGCAGACTCCTGTTCCTGTCTCTGGGGTGCTGCGCCCCCACACCAGTCTGTCTAGTGGCCCCTGTGGGGCTGGTCAGCTCTCCCCCCTCTGCTTCCCTTGAGCCCTCCTGGCTAGGTCCCAGCACCTACTGGCGTCAGAGCTGGTCGCTGCCCAAGCCAAGGGTGTGTGCCCCTCCTTGGTGGACATGGAGTCTGTGTCTTGAAGGGAACAGTCCTGCTCCAGAAGACCCTGCTCTGAGGTGCATCCCAACCTTGTCCTCAGAGCCTGGTCTGAGGCTAAACAGGCCATCCGGCAAAGCCTGAGAGTGCGGGAATCCTGGCCACGTGGAGGGAGCTCTGGTCGGAGGCTTGGAACTGACCAGAGGACCCTTCACTGAGGGGCATGGTGGCCACTAGGCCACGGGGCCAGGGCTAGGGAGCAAGGAGCCTCCCAGGGTGTGGAGAGCCGAGCTGGGCCTGCCCAGAGTGAAGGATGTGGAGGAGGTTCCGGGAAGTGGCCCAGTGGGGCTGGCTCCCTCTCTCAGACGGTTAATAAGGCACCAATTACCTCTGGCCACAGGGCTCTCTGGACAGGCTGGGCCCGTCGCCACCATGCTGCCTCCCTGCCTCACGTCCACTCCATCCTGTATTTACAGACACTTAGGTGTGCTTAGGGGCACACAGCTCCCCGCAGCTCCACCCCAGAGGGCCTCCTCTCCCAGTAAACACCAGGCTGACCGCTGACCCCAGGGCGAGGGCAGCTCTGGTACGCTGCAGTCAGGCAGGAGGGAGGCCAGTGAGGGCCAGCATCATCTTCTGCAGATGGCCCCTCGACACGCGCAGAACTCAGAGAAGCCCTTCCCCTCACTGGGCCTCAGTTTCCCACCTGTAAAATGGGGAGAAGCCAGCATTCTCATGGTGTACATGAGGTAGGGCTGTGGTGAGGCAGGTAGGAGAGCGCTGGGAAGGCCCTTCCCTCGTGGGTCCAACCTCACCCTGGGCCCCACCTGGCTCCTCTTCTCACAGGATAACGTGCAGCAGGCTGGTGGCCCCTCACCGGGCTCCTGGCCCATGGGTTCAGTCTCTTCTCATTTCCTCGGCTGCCTCCGGGCGTCTGGTTTGGGGCCACACAGGGTAGAGGCTGGACTACGGGGCGGGGTGGGGGTGTGGATGTTCTGCAGGGCAGCCTCTGCCCCTCCCCTGCTGGGGACACTGTCTGATCCCTCCCCCAACCCCTCCTGCTTGCTCATCTTTCTCTTTTGGACTCTTGCCTCTGGGTCCAGTCCCATCTCCCCTCTGTCCAGGTTGTCTGTTCACTCTGCACGCCCTCTCTGTCTCTCTTACTCAGCCGGACCCACCTCCCGGTCTCTGCCTGGGGATCTGGCCCTTTCACTTCCACTTCTGCTGATTCTTCTTCTCTGTCCATCCTTCTCTCTCTGTCTTCTTTCCCTCAACCTTCTCTCTGCGTCTTTCCGTCCCTCACTTTCATGCTCCCTCGTCCCCACTGCCAACCCCAGGCCTCTAGTCTCCAGATTAGTCTGCCATCCCTTCTGTCTCCCCTGTGGTCCGCCAGAATGACAGTCTTTGAGATGAATATCCTCACCTGCCTTCCTTCCTCCTCTGCTCATCTGCTCATCTCCTCTTCCTCATCTGCTCCTGCCCCAAGATCATTTGCTCAAATTGCTCCAGAAGCTTGAGGGCTCCCAGAGTGGGGGCCTTCCATATTCTCACCTATCTCAGGCCTGCCCTTGACCGCAGTGTTGGGGGTGGTCCACAGACGAGCTCTCTGTACCCTCTGGTGTTGCCGGGTCTCCATCAGCTGAGATCTGGCTGGTGGGGCTGGGGGCCCTGGGCTATTCCTACAGTGACATCCAGTGGCCAGGTCTGAACCATGTGTGGAGGCACAGACAGCCCCTAGGAACCCCAGGACCTGTGGGCTCCAGGCTAACGTCACTCTGGAGTGGGATGGGGATGCCAGGCCAGCAGGGTCATGGTGCCCTCCTCCTGGAGGGCAATGTCCACCTGCTGATCCCTGCCGCTCACCCTGCCCTGTCCATTGGAGGCCTGGCTTTGCCTTCCGGCACCCCTGAGCTTTGCACACAGGGCGGGGACACCTGGATTTCTCTGGCCCCCTGAGTGGGGCCAACTTGGAGGAATTTCTCAAAGCCTATTAGAGCAGTGGCTGCCTCCTGCCTGCCTCCTCGGGCTGGGCAGGGCTGAGGGCGGAGGGAGAGAGGGAGGGAGGGGAGAGAGGAGGAAGGGAAAAAAAGTTGGCAGTCCGACAGCAGAGCTGTGTCTGCATCCATCGCTGAGAGGAGGCCTGTGCACTGTGGGGCGGGCCAGGAGCAAGGAGAGGCCTTCCTCCCTTTGTGCTCCCCCCTTCTCCTCCCCCCGGGGCCCTATAAATAGGCCCAGCCCAGGCTGTGGCTCAGTTCTCAGAGGGAGGTGAGCACAGGCAGCGGTCTCAAGCCAAGCCCCCTGCCAGCATGGCCAGCGAGTTCAAGAAGAAGCTCTTTTGGAGGGCGGTGGTGGCCGAGTTCCTGGCCATGACCCTCTTCGTCTTCATCAGCATTGGTTCAGCCCTGGGCTTCCACTACCCAATAAAGAGCAACCAGACGACAGGTGCAGTCCAGGATAACGTGAAGGTGTCACTGGCCTTTGGGTTGAGCATCGCCACGATGGCCCAGAGTGTGGGCCACATCAGCGGTGCCCACCTCAACCCAGCCGTCACGCTGGGGCTTCTGCTCAGCTGCCAGATCAGTGTCCTCCGGGCCATCATGTACATCATTGCCCAGTGCGTGGGGGCCATCGTCGCCACTGCCATCCTCTCGGGCATCACCTCTTCTCTGCCTGACAACTCGCTTGGCCTCAATGCGGTGAGTGGGGTGGCCCCAGGCTCTGGGGGCTCTAGAATGGTGCTGAGATGGGTTCGTCTCATCCTCCACCCATTGTGCAGATGGGGACACTGAGGAACAGAGAGGATGAGAGGTTGTGGGAGGTCAGGCAGAGCTGTACCTGGAACTCAGCTAGAGTCTGTTTTTTGCCAGGCACTGTGGGAAGCTGAGACCCAGAGCATAATGGTCTTGCCATGTCCCCTGCGGGTCTCTATTGTGGGGAATAAGCTCTGGAGGCAGCTAACAGTGGGGCCAGCAGCTCCTCACCCCTGGGCTGCAGTTTCTTCCCCTCCCTCCGCTCAGCCCCGTCTGGGCAGCGGCTCCCTCCCCCACGCAGCCTGGACCCTCTTACACTCTGCCTGCTGCCCCCAGTCTCCCTGGACCACACATCCGGCATGTCTGCAGCTGGCCACACAATCCTGTGTGAGCAGAACTCTCCCAGAGGGGCTCCTCAAGCATCTAGGCAGCCCCACCTTCACACAGGTCCCCAAACAAACTGCCTTCAAGGAAAAAGCTCCTCTTGCTCTGCTGGCTCCGGGAATGGGACAAAGATGGGAGGTAAAAACAGTTTCAGGACAGCCTGCAGGTGACTTTCCTGGATTGCAGCAAATGGTGGGGGCCAGAGCAGGGACATCTCACCTCAGCTCTGATGGAGATGCACATCTTCCATCTCTGGGTCTGCTGTCTATCACCGGACACAGAGAGGTGTGGCGCGTGTATTTGTGTCTGTGAGCAGTGTGTGCACATGTGGATGCTGGCATGGGTCTCCGAACCTGTGAAAGCTGGCTGTGTTACTTCTGAAAGTGTATCTGTGAGCGTGTCAGTGCTGCGGTGTAAGTGTGTCTGGAGGTGAGCGCATACCTGCGTGTGCCCACTGCTTGGGCCTGACCTGGGGGCACTCATGATAAGCAGATGTGGGCGACTGGGTGGAAGCTGCAGAAAAGAATTCCTCCCGGGCCGCTTAGCACAGCTAATTGGCCGTTGGCAGGCAGCTGCCTGCTGTCGCCGACCTGGGCTTTTCCAGACCCTCAGCCAAGTGCAAACTCAGACCTGGCTTGGGCCACAGCAGGGGGAAAATTTGGCCTGAGAGGCCAAGGAAGGCTTGGAGGAGGTCTCAAGAGTGCCCAAGGCGGTGTTTTCACAGGGAGGGAGAGAGAAGGAATCAGATCAGGTCTGTGTTGGCGGGGCCTGGGCAAGGCAGGCGGGTGTGGGGACAGTTAGGGAGCCGGCTAAAGGCTCCACAGAAAGAGCGGCAGGGTGATTAGACAAGAAAACGTCCTCCCGCTTCCCAGCCAAAGTCCAGATCCTGGTGCTACGGCTGCAAAGGTCCACGCAGATGGCAGTTGGCATGACCCTGCCAAGCAGGGATTAGCACTCCTTGTGTCACCGTGACACTTCACCCAGTCCAGGATTGAAGGTTAGCCCTTCAGGCTGGAATTTAAACTTTAGTCAAGGAAGATGTGGTCTCTGTGGGTGTAAGGTCCTCCGGGCCTGTCTCTCTAGTGGGGGCAGAGCCGGGCAACCTCAGGGCATGCCCAAGGAGTAGGGTCAGGATTACCGCAGGGCTCAGCTGGGTATGATGGGCAAGGGGAAGGGATCCTTCCTGGGGATGAATAGGGTCTCCCCAGGCCTTCTAGCCCCCTCTTGACCTTCCTTCTCCAGGGCGAGTCAGGCCAGGCATCTGCTGGTGACTCTGTTCTCTCACACAGGCATCCCAGGCAGACTTGAGGAGGGCAAGCATCCCTGTGCAATCTTGATCTGGCCACACCCTGATTCAGTGTCTTTTCCCCTCACCAGCCTCCATGTTTCCAGTTTCCCCAATACCTGAGCTGGGTGGGTTTGCAGGAGAGGAAGAAAAGGGAACTCAACCCTGGGCAGGGAAGCAGACAAGTTGGGTTCAAGGCCTGGCTGCTTACTTGTTGACTTTCTTGGAGCTGAGAGCCCTTAAGTCTCCAAGAGGGGACCTAGGTCTCTTGATATCTCTTGGCCACACCCATACTGCCAGCAAGCTCACTTTGTGGACTTGAGTTTATCACTCTTCACAGGAGGGGCTGGCTAAGAGGAGCCCAAGAAGTGCCAGGCTGAACATAAGGGCAGTGAATACTGAGGTGGGAGCCCAGGGATTGCCCTGGCCCCACCATGGAAGTTTGGGGTTCAGAAACACGTGTTTTGGGCTGAAGAACTCAGAAAGGGTTCAGAACACTGAGCCTGGGATCTAAAGGGGCCTGGGAGGTGGCCTCAATACCTCAAAAAGGGCACAGATGAGTCTACACAGCAGGCGACATGCTCTTTCCTCCAAGCTCTAGGAGAGGTTTCCCCTAGCCCCTTGAGTCCCAGGCCTCTCCCAGCCCAAACCAGTTGTTGGCATGGAGATTTTCAAGGAAAATAGGGAAAGAAGTGGCAGGAAGTGGTTGGAGTGAGTCAGGGGGTGTCCCATGGGGATATGTTGGAGAAAACTTTCTCCTTACTGAGTCAGGGCTCAGGATATGCCCTGGAGAGACCATGGACCTCTCTCCATCCTGCCACATCCTAGCTGGTTCTCAAAACCAGACCCTGAGTTTATTTCTAGAGTGAAAGATAGGCAGCAGCTGGTGCCTGGCCTGCCCTGTCCTAGTTCAGCGACTAATACAGTGTGATTTCAGGCAAGTCACCTCATCTGTGTGGTCCAGGTCCCATCTGTGGAATGGGTGTATCGCAAGGCGTGGCTGGGAGCTGGGAAGTAGAAGATGCTCTCGAACCTTGAAATTCTGACCACTCACCAGCTCGTTTCACTCTTCCAACCTCTCTTGCTTGCTCACCTATGTCTGCTGCAAACATGACTTTCACTACTGCAGACTAAATTCGGGGCTGAGTCAGGCCGCTCCCTGCTCTGAGAAGTCCATGGTCCCGAGCAAGATAAGGCCGCTGTGCATCTGTCAATGATAGGGGGCAGGAGGCAGGTGTGATAAGACGTGTCAGGGCACCTGGGAACTTCTGACCTCGAGCTGTGGTGAGGGCCAGGAGGCCTTCAAGGAAGAGGTGTCCTGGGAGCCTAAAAGTAGAGATTCCAGGGTGGAAGGAAGGGGTTTCCTGCAGAGGAGGTCATGGTCTGAGAATCACAGGGTGTGGCTGATGTGGGGGTCGGGTTGGGAGATGGATTATGGTGGGAGGCTGGCGCTCTAGAGAGCAATGAGGATTCAGGATTTAGGTCGGTGTCTGCCTGCGTCCCGGAGCCTGTGGATTCAGCCTCTTTGGGAGCTCAGGCAGAGTGCAAACCTCCCTTATTTGGGGGTCTTTTCTCAGCCCCATTGAAGATGGGCCTGACTGCCTGGGGAACCACTTCTACTTGTTGCATCTGGGACCTGACTTTAGCCCCAAACTTTCCGCTTCCCCAGCTTCCTGAGCCTCCGTTTTCCAACCACAGAATGAGGGCACCCCACAACCCCCTAACCCCTCTTCCCCACGCCACCAGGTCTTCCAGCGTTGAGAGCCCTCCGCCTCCCCCGGAGTTGAGGGTGGACTGGGGAAAGGGAAGCCAGTTTTCCGATGGCCCTGTCCAGGGAGTAGGCTGGGGGCTGGGTGGTGGTGCCACAGATGGGACATGTAATTACTGTTTCCAGCCAGAACCCGATGAGGGGGAAGCGCAGAGAGAGGCAGGAGCTTTGCGGTGGAGACTTTCCTTACCATGGAAAATTCTGAGGCGGTTTCCCCATTAGAGCCCTTGGAGCTGCCCTGCCAGCCCCATATCGTCCATCATGACACTGGCCCCTAACCAGGGCTTGCTCTGGGAATCCTCCTGTGAAGAGACTATGCCCTGAGAGGGGATATGGCCCACCAGGGTCCCTCAGACTGCGGGACAAGGATTCACCTTGTGCCATTGTTCTCCCCAACCCAGGTCACAGCCTTCCCTCACTGCATTAGTGCACGCCAATCCCATGCAGTCTCCCCCAACCTGACCTCAGGCCCACATGGTGTTCCCCACTTTCTCTAGGGCCCCTCCCAGCAGGGTGCCTTTAGCCTTACCCTCCTAGGGCTTCCCCCAAGCAGCTCAGACATGCCCCCTGCCTGCACCTTGAAGACTGGTTTGGGCAAGCTTTCCTGGAGGCACAAGGAGCCCTTGGTTCTTGCTGGCAGAGCCCCCCTGGGGGCCATGGTCCCTGCCCTCTGGAAGAACGGATGTATCTGAGGTCTCCTGAATGGGTGTGGGCTGAGGCCACACAACTGCAGATCAGGGCAGGCAAAGTTCCCTCAGCCAGACCCTCTGTCCGGGTTCAGAGGGGCTCCTTAACCCTGGTGGTTCCCCAGGGGTGAGTGAGGGGCTTCCTTCACACATCCGAGGAGCTGCGGGCCAGTGGGCAAGTACACCCTGAGGCTGAAAACAACTCACAAGCTGGTAGCAAAGGTGGGAAAATGCCCGTTTCCATAAGCACGTGCTTTCAGTGCCTGAAACCCCACCATCAGGACAACCCGGGGCTGGTGTCTGCTCAGGGTAAAGAAAGAACTTACTATTTTAAATTGGGGAGGGACAGCTTCCAAATCAACAAGTTCCTGGTCACCAGGGCTGTGCAGGTAGGGTGCGTCGGGCAGCTGTGGCTCTGAGGCATGTGGCTCTTGTTGTGGGGGGCAGTGGTGGGGGCCATCTAACAGTTCTAGGTGGGCGGGAGGCCCTATGACAGGCTCTGTGCCATGTGGAGACCGGCTGTTCACATGGCCAGGTGGGGAATCCTGCACTCAGGACCCTAGCCTGGAGGGTGACCGCAGGTCTTGGGGGAAGGGGCCCCATATCAGGCAGCAAGGAATCCTAGAGACAGTTTGGGGCTATAATCTAGGCTGAGGCCTCCATTTTACTGATAAGGAAACCACGGCTCACAGATGGGTGGAGTCACTCAAGATTGTGCAGCAGATGATGGTGGAGCAGGACTGTGACCCCAGCCGCCTGCCTACAACCCGTGAAAATCTCTGCAAATTGCACTTACTTAACGCTGCACTGGCAGACATGTGTGCGTGCACGGTCACAGCGATATGATGCACACAGGAGCACACACACACACACACACACACACATGGGCGGGCGCGAAGCACATTTTGAAGCCTGGGTGGTCCCCCTCAAGCCCTGGGACCCTAGGAGGGTGGAGTGGGGGGTCCCTCAATGGTACCTCTTCCTTTCCCAAGCAGGAAGGCGGGGGCTGCCCTCAAGCGAGGAAAGAAGGAAGGAGGGAAGGAGGAAGCCCTTGCTTTGTGTATTGTTCCTTGTCAGGAAGATGAAATGGCTTCTGAGAGCAAATAAAGGGCGCTTTGAGACCTGCTTCTTTCTCTTTTACTCAAGGGTGCTTCCATCCCTTCTCCTCCCCCATCCCCAGCCAGCGGTGGACATGTATGTGGGAAGGCAGCACACGGGGACAGGGTGACAACTCAGAAATGCCACTAGACTCACAAGACAGACACCGAAGGCCACACAGAGAGCCCTCCCCGCCCCACCCCCAGAGCCCACCTCTGTAAGAAACGGCGTCCTGCCTAGTAGGGTTAATAAATGACTAGTTTGAATGTCCCCCGTGGGCTGAAAAAGAGGGTATATTCTTGAATTTGGAAGTGCAGGGATTATGTATTTTCCTTAAATCAAGCTTGTTAGTTATGTGGTTCAAATCTTCCCTGTTCTTGCTGTTTATATTATTGACACTTCCCTCAGTCGGTTTCTAAGAGAGGGTTGTTAAACCCCTTCACTATGGCAGTGGATTGATCATTTTCTTTTTGTAATTCTGTCAACTTTTGTGTCACCTATTTCTAGGTTGTATTCTTTAGTGCATACAGGTTGAGAACTTTTATAACTGTTAGATAGACTTTTCACTTACTTAGTGTCTAGTAAACCTCTTTATGTCTAAGGAAAAAGAAGAGTCACACCTGGACATATGTGGTCACCCAGAGACTCTGCAGACAGCAGTGTAGAGAGACACAGAGAGGCACACAAAGCCATGGATACCCAGAGGCACCTGCGCGCTTGAAAAATCACTGATGAAAGGGTGATACTTGGGGAGGGGGCTCACTGAGGTCCCCCTCACTGGGATACTGAGTCCTGCAGGCAGCGGGTGGGTGGGGCGGTCCTTGATGTCTTGTTCTTTAATGGATGCCCAGAGCCCAGCCAGGCCTGGTTCAGGAAGGGTGGGACACCAGGATGCTCAGGTCATGCTGGGGCCTTGGGCCTCAGAAGTCACTTTGATCAGTCTGCTCATGGGCAGCAAGGGAGAGGAGGGTTCGAAGTTCATTGCCTAGAGAGGTCAGTTCTGTGCCATCCTGGGGCCTGGGACAACCTGGCAGCTACAGAACATCTTCTGCCAGCTCCTCAGTCTAAGGTGGCAACAGAGAGGACCTTTAGCCAGGTGCATAGGTAGCCAGCACCTTTGCCTGTGAACGTAGGCAGCATATACTCTGGGGCAAGAATTCTGGTGTTGCCATCTCCTTCCTAGGCCTTGACCTCCGCATCTGTCATCTCACAGAGTCTTGAGCAGGCTGTTTTGCAAGGTCCACAGAGACTAATACTGGCCTGCAATCTCCCAGCTAGAAAGCAAATGAACCAGCCCTGGCTCTGGAGAACTTCCCTCTAGAGTGGGTGGAAATGCTAGAATATTAACATAATCTGCCACCTCTTTTGGGGGAGAGGGGCCACACCGAACAGCTTGGAGGATCTTACTTCCCTGACCAGGAATCGAACCCAGGCCCTCAGCAGTGAAAAGTGCAGAGTCCTAACCACTGGGCCTCCAAGAAATTTCCTTGTCTGCCTCTTCTGTCTCCACACAGTAAGTGTCCCGTCGAGGTCTGGGCAGGGAGATGAGATGGTGTCCACATTCTGTCCCCACTGAGTTCCCAAGCCAGGGGTTCTGAGGCACCCGATAGGTGACAGAAAGTTTACTTTTCCGCAAGATTTGCAAGCTGTTTAGTGAGGGCTTGATGAGTGGAAGCAGAGGTTAATTCCAGCCAGGGACCTGAGAAAACTTCTTGATACTGAATTGGAATTGATGGTGGAATCTGAACTGAACCTTGAGAGTGAGCTTCAATGGGTTTGATATAAAACTGGAGAGTTTGCATCTCTCTGATGCTTAAGATTAAATGTCTGGCTTTTTCTCTTATTTATACTTGTGCTCCGAAAATTGTTACCCCCCCCTTTTTTTGGGGGCCTTAATTAGTGAAATATAAGACCTAGGCTGGGCAAAATGCTCTGGGGATGTGCAAACTTTTTTTTCAATAACAAGTAACCACAACTGGGATTAGCCCTATTTATGCAATTGTGTCAATTTCAATAGGTTGTAAACAGGAACACGGGCTTCTCAGGTGGCTCAGGGGTAAAGAAGCTGCTTGTCAAACAGGGGATGCTGTTTCGATTCCTGGTCTGGGAAGATCCCCTGGAGAGGGAAATGGCAACTGGCTCCAGTATCCTTGCCTGGAGAATCCCATGGACAGAGGAGCCTGGAGGGTTACAGTCCATGGAGTCATAAAGAGTCAGAAAAGACTTAGAGAGATGAAATAACAACAATAGCAACAAAATCAGAACATAGGGTCTGAATTTTTACTTGCTCTTTTCTGGACATCAAACTTCAGCAGACCTTAAACTATCCGTTTCAATTTGGAATGATCGATTTTTTTCTCAGACGTAAGCAGCACAACTTCTTAGGCAGTTCAAAGAGAGATCACAGAAGCAATCAGGGGAGGCTTCCTGCTGATGGTGGTGGTGGTAATGGGTTTAGGGAGAGGAAATTTACTAACCCATGTGGTTCTGGGCAGTCAAATTCTAAGGGCTCTGGGCGGCTAGGATGAGGTGCATCTTAGAGTCCCCAGGGCAGGTATCACTTCTTGTGGACTGGGCATGGCACCAGGGCCCCTGGTCTGCTCACTTTGCATGAAAAGTGGTGTTCTTGGGCAGAGCAGGAGCGGAGAGGCTGAGACCTGGTTAGGAACCCAGGAAAGATGAGCTCGCCCAGACCACAACTGTGATGAGTGCGGTGGGGATGAGGAGTATGAGGCAAGAGCCACTTAGAGTGATCATTCCATTAATCAGAGTGGAAGGGCTGGTTTCAGGACTTCTGCCAGCTAGCAATTAGGCCGGCCCTGGAGAGCAAAGGAGAGCGTGCGGAGGCGCGAGGGAGGAGGAGCCCGGAGCTTCCTGAGCGCTCAGACAGGAGGGCAGCGGCAGGTGTGAATGTGATGGGCATTGGTGCCAGTTGCCTGGCCTCACCAGCCTGGCCTCCGTGGAGCCAATCTCTGCTCCAGGCAGGCCTCACTCTACTCTTCAGACTCCTGAGCAGCACAGCCCCTCCTGTTCTGCCTGCCCCACCTAGTTCTGGGGATGAGAGAAAGAACCAGAACAAAGCCACGACAACTACCCTGAGCCTGCCTGCCCCTGCAACACTTCAAATGCCCCAAGACAGCCCCTCCCCCTCCACCCCATGCCTTAGAACTTCTGGCCTCTCTGGAGAACGGGGAAGGGAAAATTAGATCTACTTTACAGACGGGGAAACTGAGGACCAGAGAGGGGCAAGACCATGGTCATGGTGCCAGCAAGTAGGAGAGCAGGGACCTGAACTCAGGGTCACCTCTACAGCCCCACACTGGGGTGCAAAGAAAGCTGGGTATTTCCCAGAGGGCTGGCTGAGCCGAGGGGCTGCAGCCCTGGGGTTGGCCAGGATAAACGCGCAGAGCTGGGGCTGCAACGGAGGGGAGGGGATATGAGTCATTTTCCCTGTGATCCAGGGCAGCAGACAAAGGCGGGAAGAGAATTGTTCTTGTAAGATGGCCTCAGGGTGGGGCTGTGAAAACCTCTGGATGGTGGAGGGGTGCCCTCCACCTAGGATTCTGCAAAATGCCCTGTGGCCTTGGAGACAACCCCACCCCGCTCAGAAAGAAGGTTCAAGTTCAGTCTTATTTGGACACACCAGCCGTGCCTGGGAGAAGGCAGCCTTCGTGGCCACATCCAGGCATATTTGTGAGTGGTCCTTGGCCCATGTGGCCTAGGTCCCCTGTGTGGGCATATTTGGCCCCTGGGACTGACCCCCACATGGGGGATGGTGCACGGGCTCCTTGGGGAGGGGTCTCCTGGCTGCGGCTGCAGAGGGAGGGCTCTGGTGACCTCATGGCAGCTCCCATTCCCTTCTTTTTCCATGAGTCATGTTTCTAAAAGTGGCCCAGGAGCAAGTGGGAGCCAGACGGTGGTGGCGGGGCCTGTGTGGCCAGGAGGGAGAAGGAGGGGGCAGATAGGGAGGGTGGGGCCCAAAGGAAATGGGAGAGAGACAGCAGAGGGCAGAGACAGACAGAGGTGGGAAGGAGACGGAGGTGGGGGCTGCGAGGAACACAGGCTCAGGGGAGAGATGGACATGGGGAGCTGCGGCCAGCTAACTGCCGAAGTCCCTCTCCACCTCTGCAGGAGATGGGGTGGAATGCTCAAGAAGTGGGGGTAAGAAGAAATGTCTCCAGGGGGCTCTCCTACCCATTTGCGCCTCTTCTTCTTTGACTGTCCCTGAATGTCCCTGATCATCTCTTCCCATTTCTAGGGCTTGCCTGTCACCTATGGCCTTGGTTCCCCCAGTGTACCCTGGTCCGGATGTAGGTGGATGCAGAAGCACCATCCCGCCTCCAGGCCTCTCTGGCCTCTGGGGAGAATGCCATGGGATTTAGGGCAAGCTGGTCCTTCCTCAACAGGTGTGCTGTGGTGGTGGAAATCTTCCCAAGTAGGAGTGGTGGTGGGGAGGGTGGAGCCAGGCTGCTGGGCATGTCCTGTTGAGCCCAGGGGGTGGGACTCTGACAGGGCTCGTTCCGAGGGTTGGGGGACCAGCTGCCCTGCAGAGGGATGCACAGGGCCTGGCTGACCCTCCTTCCAGGTCTGATGGTCACTGCCCTGTTTCCCCTCTGGTCTTCTTCCTCCATGTCACCCTCTCCCTCCCGCCCCCTGTCTCTTTCTCTCCGTCTCCTCTCCTGTTCCCCCTGACCCTTCCCTCCCACAGATAGACTACACCGGCTGTGGTATTAACCCTGCCCGGTCCTTCGGCTCCTCGGTGATCACGCACAATTTCCAGGACCACTGGGTAAGGGGTCACAGGGCTGCTCCGTGCAGGTGGAAGGGAGACTTTGGTGCCTTGTGGTAGACCCACCCCCGACCCTGTGACATCATCTCCCATCACAGAGGCCCTGAGAGATGGCCAGGGGGAGGAACTCGGGAAGATGAGGCCTGAGATGAAGGGGTGGTGGGTTCACACCTCAGGCAGGGCAGTGTAGGCAGCCTCCCCTCCCAGATCAGACCATGGTCTGACCATTCCAGGTATGCTGAGTTGGGTCACACAGAAGCAAGGAGAAAACCACTACCTAAGTCCTGGCTTGGGCCAGTTGTAGGGGTGGAGGGCTGCAGATGCTGAGATTCAGCACTGTCTTTTCTGTCTCAGGCACAGGTTGGGGAGCAGCCATGCAGTGGGCGGGGGTGGGGGTGGGTTGGGACTCTCGTGGGAAGCAGGTCGCATCAGATGCCCTCTGAGCACGTCCTCTCTGTTCCTAGATCTTCTGGGTGGGGCCGTTCATTGGAGCAGCCCTGGCAGTGCTCATCTATGACTTCATCCTGGCCCCACGCAGCAGTGACCTCACAGACCGCGTGAAGGTGTGGACCAGCGGTCAGGTGGAGGAGTATGACCTGGATGCCGACGACATCAACTCCAGGGTGGAGATGAAGCCCAAATAAGGGGGCTAGGCCTGGGCATCCACCTGGGGGGTGGGGGGGCAGGGGAGGGCAGAGGGAGGGGAGGGGTGAAACCTGTATCATAGACAGTCTGACAAGCTGGCCAAAGTCACTTCCCGAGGATCAGCAGGGCCTGCGTGGTCAAGCCTGACTTGGGACTGTTGCTATCACCTTCTTTCTCTTTCTCCTTTTCCCGGTTTGGGGATCCCTGAGGACCAAGATTTCCCAATCACCCATTCCCTTGAAGTCACAAAGGAGGTGAAAGAGAGGGACCTACCTTGCTAAGTTGTCCTCTGAGTGTGCTGTGAGGTATGCCAGAAAGCACGCCCCCCATCCCAGAACTGCTCGCCAGCTCATCTACTGCAGGTGCCTGGGGCTCCTCGGTGATCGCTTTGTGCTTTCGGGCGTGGCCCTCTTTCCTGTAACGTGCGCTTGCCCCAAGGATGCTCCGAGGGGGAGAGACCCCATCAAGTGCAGTGGTGGGGTCAGGGGGCAGTCAGAGCCCGTCCTTGCAGCCCGGCTGGCTTCCAGGTCCGCTCCCCCAGCTACGGAAGTGCTATACGACCTTGGGAAGGTCTCAATCTTGGGGACTCAGTGACTCCATCTGTAAAGAGGCAGGGGCAGGGAGAGCTGCATGGGCCCGAGACCCCTCTCCAGGATTGTGTAAGTGTAGGCACACTGCACATTCTGGAAGACCTAGTCTGGCCCAGCGCTGCTTCTTCCACTTGCCCAGTATTTAGTTGTACCTACACATCTATGTGAACACATGTACATAGGCACACATGTTCCAAAGCAAAGAGCAACAGGTCATCCAACCGTAGGAAGTTCCCATTCCTAGGGAAGCAGAGCTGAGAGTGGATAGAGCCTGCTGTTGCAGAATGAAGATCATCTAGAGGGAGAGGGAGGAATGTCCGAGTTCCTTCATTGAGTTGTAGTTGATCTTTTCCACCTATCACTGTATCACCCTCGTCGTTATTTGGTTCTTCAGTTTTTCTTGCCAGTGCAGACACAAGTCAACATTATGTAATGGTGTGTTGACTGAAGGACACTTGGTCATCTGAAGGTCAGCCCCTGGAGACAGATGTCCTTGCTGGACCCTCAGAGAGGGTTCCGAGCCCCTAGCTGACAAGGTGGGAGGAGAAGCAGATTCCTCCCTTATTCCAGAGGTCCTGGTTGGAGGCACTGGGGGGAAGCTGGGTGACCTGCACAGGCTTCCCAGGCCATAGTCTTCCCTCTTCATTTATTTGGAGGGGAGAGTTGGTCTTGACCGAATGAAGTAGCTATGGCTGCAGCCCAAGGATAATTCTGAGCACAGTCTGTTTGTGGGGGCAGCTATCTACACATTCCATACAATTCCACCAGGGCCAGAGTAGGTCTCCCCATGCCCCACGGCCACGACGGTGACAAACACTGAGAGACACAATACATAGTTTTCTGGAAGCAGCAGGACAACCAGGAGGCCCTTAACGGTCACAACACATCATAACATCCATACACTCTCTCTTCCATTTCTGAGCAAAAGCTTCTAGTCCATTTAACAGAGAAAGAAACTAGGGTCCAAGGACCCAGAGCAAGATGATGATTTGGCAGGCCTAGCAGCCAGGGCCATGTTTCTGGCTACTCCCTGGACTGTGAGACTGGGCCCTCTTAGACCCAGATCCTGCATTTCTGCCTGGGTAATGGCCAGGTGCCAGGAAGGGTGAGGGGAGTGTTGGAGGGGAGAGGGGATGCTCCATCCCGTCCTGTTCTGGCTGCTGCACACAGGACCCTGCATCTGTCTGCTCTGCATATATGTCTCTTTGGAATTGGAATTTCATTATATGTTAAGAAAATAAACATAATATAGGTCATCCAGACTCCTTGGAATGAAGGTTTTTCTTTGGGCACCATGTTCCCACAAGGGATCTCTGGGTCTGAGAACTTGGGCCCAGTCTGCGGAGGAGCCACTGTACCCCAGGACTCCTGGTCTCGGGGTGGACACAACCAGAGCTCCCTCTGAGGGACATAAGGCTCCTGCAGGATTGAAGTGTGAGAGCTTGAGGCTTCCCTCTGACCCCCTCCTTAGAACAGAGCCCGGGGAGCACCAGGGATTGCTGGGCCACACTTCCTCTGGCCCCCCGCACATCTCTGACCCACCCGCCCTGGGGCTGGGCTCTGCCTGGGGGTCTCAGCCCTGGGGGTGGGGATGGAGGTGGACTCACCTGTCAGAGTGAGGTTAGTGCCAGGTGCAGGGGAGGCTGGGGAAAGGTGACGAGCAGTAGCTAAGAGGGGAAAAGTCCCTCAGTTCCTTAGGGCCTGGTGGGGGTGGGGGGGAGACGCGCGGGCGCGTGAGTGTGTTTGTGTGTGTGTGTATGTGTGTGTGTGTGTGTGAAGGGTTCCTCTGCTCTGAAAGCATGAGCCACATTCTGGGAGGATGCCCACATTCTGGGCATCTTCCCGTGGTTTTTGTCAGACTACTATGGGGCATCCCCAGGGCAGAAGAGATCAGAGTGGCCTGACCTCAGTCCCCAGGGGCACAGGAAGCCAGAAAAGGACCCCTCCGTCTGCTCCTGCCTTTACACCTGTGCTGGTATAGCCCAAGGCCAGTGCAGGCTGGAAAGGCTCCATCCAGCCCTCTTCAGATCACAAAATCCCATCCCACATGTGGCCCCCTAGTATTGGGGGCCCAGCAGGCCTGCGTACCCTTATTTAGTGGAGGCAAGAGGATCCTCAGAGACAGGCCCAAGTCTCAGGACAGATCTTTGCCAAGCTGATATTTGGATGCAGGCCCCTCACACACACACACAACACACACACACACACACACACACACACACTCTTAGGGCTAGTTTCTCGAAATAAGGACAACTACACTGAAACCTAGTGCTCAATAACAGAGGCCCAGAGTCTGGGAGACTCCAAGAACCACCAACCTGGATATCTCACTGGGCCACATGGGCAGGTCAGGGATGACAGGGAAGGTCCTGGCACCCCCACTCTGCTCTGAGAGATGTTCAGATCCTGCCTCCCTCTGTGGGGGCCTTTGCTGATGGTGATACAGGGGCAGCTTGGCCTGTGGAAGTTTTGAGGTCAGCGTGGCTGGAGCAGGTTTTCTTATCCCAGTGTGCAGGGGGCCGCTACGAGTGACAGCTAGGGCCTCAGTCCATGCAAGCTGCCTCTGCGCCTCCCAGGCTGAGGGCAAGCTGCTGTGAATGTGAGGGTGCAGGCCAGGCCCTGGGAACAGGGTCCAGGCAAGCCTGTGGCAGCTAGGCCTACCTGTGCGGGTGTGCCGAGACTCTCTGTCACAGCCCTTCTTGGCTTATCTCCATCCTGTCCCCTCCTCCCTGGTGTGAAGCCCTCTCAGTCCCCATCAGGGGCCTGGCCACCCCCACCTCAATGCCTGCTCTTCCTTTGTTGTCCTCTGACCATTCCAGGGAGGCGCCTTTCTTAGTAACTGTTTAGTTTTAACTTCTAGGATGCTAGTGCCAGGATACAGAGCCTGAAGAAGAGGTTGAGGAACTCCCCTTGGACTTCACATGCAGTTTTTCTAATCTTAACAATACCTTTGGAAGGCAGAGATAACAGCCTCCTTTTCTAGAGGATGCTAAGGGTCCTGAAGATGAAATAATTTGCCCAAGTCCACACAGTGTGTTTGTGGCAAAACTGGGATTTGAACTTGCTTTATCTGGCTTCAAAGATTGGGCTCTTTCTACTATGTGATGCTGTCCCATTTTGTCAAGACTCCCACTGAATTTACCTCTGGATGAGCTAGGCTTCCTTTGCCTGGAAGGTGTTGAGAGGAAAAAGTAAGGGAAAATAATAACTGACTGAAGGGGACTCTAGCACCAGGAGAAATGCCATTTATTTGGGGTCCAGCTGGATACTGTGTCTGCTTGAGGCCTATTGTTACCACCTGGCCCGAGACTGCTCCCCTGGTACTGGCCCCACCCAGTGCCCTCCAGGCCTGACTGCCCCTCTCTCTATTCAGGAGGAAAATATTTGATAAACTTGTTCATCCAGAGGTTGTCCTCTCCCACTAGAATATATGGGAAGAAATAGGACAATGCTATACCCTGAGGGATAATAATGCATCATTCAGGCCTGGGGGCAAAAGCACATGGGACCAGGCTGCCCCAGATTCCTCGGCTTCCAGCCTATGGGTTCAGGGCTTTAGGGCCTCTTTCTCCCAAGGGTCATCCCCAAATCTGCTCATGTTCTGTCCAGCCCAGCACAGAGGGGAGGCTTTAGGAGAGTAACTGAATTGAAGGGGAGCTTCTGGAGCAATCAGAACTCTTGTCTGTTTTGTTCATCAAAATTAAAAATGGAGAGAATATATTTCCTGAACTGTTCCATGACTCAGCCTTGGTTTCCCAGCTGCTGAGCATTCAAGCCACTACACACATGAGGTGCTTTGATGGAGAGGGGGTGGTCACCTATCACCAACCCCCCTTTCCCAGCTGTATCCATGCTGAGGCCAGATAACAGGCTGCTTCCTCCCCTGGGTTCCCCATGGTTCAGGGCAGACCTGCACATGAAGGGGGCTCACTTGGCCCAGAAGGCTGTGCCCTCAGCACTTGGCCCCGAAGGAAGCAGGATGTAATTCAGCAGTTAGTGAATCCTAGAGTATTTGTCCCTCCATTAAACTCACAAGAGCAAAAAGTTGTGATTTCACAATTGCCTCATCTGTTCTGAGTCACACCTTTTTGCATGCTTTTCCAAAGTCCTTTATAGGGGACGTCGGCCAGAGACCTGTGAGTAATGCTCAGGTCAACTCAAGGTTGCCTTTTAGTCACACATATATATGACCTTCTGCATCAGGTCAGTCCTGGATTTCTAAATATCCGGAAATCTGGGATACTTGTAAACTCATATGTGCTTTCCTGGTGATTCAGTGGTAAAGAATCCACCTGCAGTGCAGTAGCCGCAGGAGATGCAGGTTTGATCCCTGGGTCGGGAAGATCCCACTGGAGGGCATGGCTACCCACTCCAGTATTCTTGCCTGGAGAACCCCATGGACAGAGGAGCCTGGCGGAATACAGTCCATAAGGTCACAAAGAGTTGGACACGACTGAAGTGACCGAGCACACACACACACGCACATAGACTTGCATTTTCCTTTTGATGTATCCTTCTCTTCCAGGGTGAAGGGCTCTGGAGAGGTCTATAGGAGAAGAATTGATCTCTGGATCAAGACTGGGGTCGGTCAACTGGTCAGACATAGACGCCGTGAGACCTCAGTGGGGTTAGAGACCCATAACTCTCCCTGAACCCAGCATCCTTGTCCATCTCCAAAGCTCAAGTGAGCTCCAAGAGGCCCCAAATGAAAGGCTGTGGGTGGCTTAGGGCATCCATTTGCCACTTAGCCTCAAGGGTATGGTGCCTTTTGGGGATTTGGTAGAAGTTAACAGGGCTCACTCCTTATTGGGGTTCCCTGGCTGGCCCCCAGTGTCCTTGCCACCAAAGCCAGGAGCCAGTCTGGAAAAGCACTGGAGGGACTGGTGCCAGGGGCCTCCACCCATAGCGTGGCCCGGCCACGTGCTGAGCCATCAGGATTTTTCCACCACTCCTGGAGGTCACACCTTCACTGGACAGGAGCCTCTCAAGGAAGGAGATAGTGATTAATGTTTTATGGTCGAGCTGCTGGGCATGGCGCCTTGTTTTCTTTAGGATTAGAATACAATGAGGACGATGAGTGGAATTTGCTATGATCTGGGGGCCAGGGAGGGGCCATTTCTGGGGCTGAGGACCCACAGGTGGTGATGTTTACTGTCCTTCGTGCCTCAAAAGGGGAAATTCTGAAAGTAGGAAAGGCAAATGAGGCTCTTGCCAACAGGGCCATCATTTCTGGCCCCCAAGAAACAGTTCCCACCAACACTTCAGGCCCTAGTGTGCAGAGAGGCCGCAGGGGAAGGGAGCCCAGAAATTGTAACAAGCATGTCCTGCTTAGATGACTCTACTTCATTTTAATAAACCTTATTCTCAGTATGTAGATGTGTGCTTATTTTTCTGTTTTTTGCCAGTGTATTGATGAGGAATGGGGCCAGGGTAGAACTGGCATTTGGCCATGTGGGTTAGTATGGCCTCGCCAATTCTTTTTTTGTTTGCTTTAAAAATATTTTTAAGTAACAAATTTTACTTAAATACTAAATGGCACCAAATTGAGTACAAGTCAAACATATTACTAAATATATTAAACATGAATTAAGTGTAATGAATTAGAAATATTTATTTCCTTTTAATTTCTTCCCCATTAACTTTTTCATTTTTATTTTTTTATTTGAAGTATGGTTGACTTACAATGTTGTGTTAGTTTCAGATGTATAGCAAATAGATTCAGTTTTTTTTGTATATACATAGGGCTTCCCTGATAGATCAACAGTAAAGAATCTGCCTGCCAATGCAGGAGATGGGGTTCAATCCTGGGTTGGGAAGATTCCTGGGAGAATGAAATGGTAACCCACTCCAGTGTTCTTGCCTGGAAAATCTCATGGACAGAGGGGCCTGGCAGGCTATACAGTCCATGGGGTCGCAAAGAGTCAGACATAACTTAGTGACTAAACAACATCAACGTCATATATATATATATCCTTTTTCAGAATCTTTCCCCTTATAGGTCATCAAAAATACTGGTATAGTTCTCTGTAGGCCCTTGTTAGTTATCTATTGTATATATAGTAGCATGTGTGTGTTAATATAAAAAAACCCTCCGTATGTTTTGAATTCTGCAAGTACCTCCCCCGACCCCTCACCCATAGCTGTCTGGTCTCGGGCTACCTTGGTGCTTCTCTAGTCTCCAGCCTCCCCTAGACCTCTCCGCGGTTCAGCACTTAAAGGGTTAAAGTGTCATCAGCAGGGGACCTCCAAGATCCTGTCCAGC